ATAATAACTCTGAGATGCTAAATTATCTCACATTTGTCAGTTTAAGGCTTTCATTTTAATTACCTTGAAAATTCTGTGCATAGTGTTCAATCCCTACACCTTTCCTTTTGCTCTCAGGCCTCGGTGTTTAAATCCATCAGTGTCATGGGGCAGTGGGGTTTAAAAAAGTATTTGGAAGGGCACCAAGCCTGAATGTTTTGAGAGTGCTAACCAAGATACACACACAGGACTGAATGCATTTTCACAGAGATTGAAACAGATTTTTTTTTTTCTGAAAACACTGTTAAAGGAAAAACCTACAGAGGACAGTGGAACCAGTCAATATGTAGAGCTGCTTTGCTTAATTAAATCCATATCTCCTTTCAAGTCTTCTGAAATATAGTAATCATTGAAAGACCCTCACAATCTCTTTTGCTGTATATATATTTATTTTTTCTTTGTGAAACAATTGTGATACTTTCTTTTGTAGAGTACATATCCTTAAAGAGAAGTATGGCTATGAATTTTAAAAATGAAACTGAGTAATCTGTTGGAGGTTATGCTGAAATCAGACCCAAAACTTAGTTCCATTTGTGCCAGTCTTCCTGTTCTAGTCCAACTCACACTTTTGTTTAACATTCTTATACTAGGTATCTCTTGGAGTAATATAATTTTTATGACAGATCATTTGTTTTACATTTCTCTGAGTACTTTAAGACTAATGAATTTTCTCTAACAATTACAATTTAATCTAAAACTAATTTTAGGAAAATTTATTTTTCTTAGTTTTCTACAAGTCAAATGTATAGTAGTTGGATACATGGTTTATTTTTTCATTCAGAATTCCCCTTGTGAAAAGACTGATTAATAAAAGGGAATCCTCCAGAGGTATATTATTCTAATATCTCTTTCAGTACCCCATATACATTGATCTATTTAACATCTTCCTCATGTATAACCCAAAACAATCTTGAGTCTCTTTGATAATAAAACGTCAATCAATGCCACAATTAGAACCTTAGCAAATGAATTCCTAGACAGATGCAGACTTGGTTATGGTTTATGGTAAGGTATTTCAAAACTGATCAAGTCAAATCTCCTGTCCCCTCAAAATCTATGAATAAACATACATTCTTTTTGGATAATTTTCAGCGACTAAACAGTGTATGCATGTGTATGTTTTGTGTTAGATGTGTACAGGTATTAGGAGGATAATATATTATTTTCCTTTCTTTTATAAAATTTTCTTTTGTTTCCTTTGAGAAATCAAATAATTACAGAAAAGTACAAAAAATATATAAGAAATATGCTACTACTACTGTCTCAAATTATTAATTATGTGTTGCTTTTTTTGTTCAGATGAAAAATTTCAATTTCCTAAAATATGGATTTTATAAACACTAATTAATAATAAATGAATCTAACTTTTTTATCCCTCATTTAAAAAATCTTAGACACTGAAATTTACTGAGACATTTAGAAGAGTCTACAAGGTGAATCCTACTTGGTTTCTGCAAAGAAAATTTAATAAAGTTGGCAATATTGGTAGATTTAGAAGCACTTAGCGGGAAGATAACACAGAGGGCTCTTAATTTGGAAAGTTTAGCACATTGGCATAGCATAAAATGTAAATCAGTTTGCATGCTGCTACATTTCTTCATGATTTTATTTCTCTTTCACATATTTTGCTATCTTTTTTTGGAATAATTTTTCTATATTGCTTTATTTAACTTTTTCTAGTGAGTCTGTCTTACCTCTTAAAATACTATAAAAAGTGCTTGAATAAAGATGCTACCTTTTAATTCTTAATAAGATGAATAATTCTGGTAGTGAGGTGGTGGGAAACTAGTTTCACTTAGAAAAAAATAAGTCTGTGAGACTGCTGCTCCAAGTCAAATTTCATTGTTCTCTCTTTGGAAGAGTAGAGAAATAATTTTGCCAACTTTAAAATACAGTTCACTCAAAAATTGTCAGCTCTAAGCTTGGAGCACGTTTCAGAACTAGTTTGGCTCAGTTCAGCATGTGATTTTTGGTTTGCTTTTACTTTCAATTCTCATGGTAGTTCTGAAGGAAAGAATGAATTTCACAAAGGAATTTTGTTTGCACATTGTAAGCTACTTTTTCTATTAAAAAAAAGTAATTGTGATTTATGTTTTTATGGAAAAGAAAGTGGCCTAAATTAAAGATAGCTAAAATTAGAAAAAAGTTATGAAAATACATTTTCTCTTTACTGTAAATGTTTTTATGAAGAATTCTCTATTTCATTTTATCACTATAATAGTGGTTTTATCTTATATGGAATGATAAGATGGTTCAAATATGCTATTTAATCACCATTAATTTAAGTATCATCTGCATATTATTATCACTTATATTTACAATGACTGTGCTGCTAGTTGCTGTAATTATTGCTGCAGCTGATATTAATTTTCATTTTTGTGAATGAAAGAGATAGGAGAATCCTCTTTCCAGTTTGGATACAAGTAAATGAACGTCCCTTGGTTTTTTCTTTGTAATTTTTGTTGTCAGTCACAGGGCTTTTTTACATGATTAGATCTACCTTATCTTTTTTTTTTTTTCTTCCCCAAGGCAGGTGGTTTCCTATTTTTCAACAAAACTGAAGGAAAACCTAATCTTGTTGTCAGCTGGTAGATCATTAAAAAATAATTTTTGATGATTGATTGCCATGTGAATTTTGGCATAAAGCGCTGACAGAGTTCAAAGAATTTTGTGCCATTTCTATGATAATAACATTTCTATTCTCATTTCCTTATTTTATGAACAACTTTCCTAGTGTCACATTTATAAAGGTGAAATATAGGATAGAACTGACGATCTACCCAGTTTTATCCTAGCAAAAATTATATTCATTTATGTATTAATGAACAAATTGAAAAATCCTGCCTTATCCATCACATTGAGAGTAATTTCCTCAAAGATTTATTTTTATGTTCAATACTTGTTTATTAAAAAATTATAATATAAATATTCTGTTTTGACAAATTCTGTGATCTATTGGTATTAATAACTCAATATAAACATTTATTTTTAATACTAGAGACTTTAAAAACGAGAAATAGCTACCATTACTTTCTGTTTATGTACTTATTTTGGTCAAAGAAGTGCTATAGCAATTAAAGATTTTCAAGCATACAAATAGATGAGGTAAAATTATGTTGTGGAAGTGGGATTAAAATAATTTCTAGGCAAAATAATAACAATATAAAACTTAAATGAGAGCCTATCCATGTTTATTTAAACAAATGGTAATTGATATATGTCAAAGTACCCCTCAGGTTCTAGTGGATATATTTAAGAGTGGTGTAACAATTTTATTTTAAAAGTTAACATATTTTATTTTCTATAAATTTTATCCTTTGTAAATATTTAAATTTATCATGACTAATTTAGATCTTAAAAATATGTGAAGGGGTATCTAGTTTTCAGAAGTATTTAGAATTTACGAACAAAAGAAAAGTTTGAACACCACTATCCTGTACTAAATCCTGGTCTACTTGCCTGGATTTTTGCCATGTGCTTCACTCTTTTTCATCCTTTTTATTCCATCACCATAGATCATGACTCAGGCCTGAGTCGTTGTGGATTAACCCCCCTTCTTTGTGCACTTAAATTGGCAATTTCTCATCTTGTCTCACTGGTTCACACTCATCTCTCAGCTATAATTAAAAAATTGTCCTCTATTGAAAAGATAGACCTCCTTTAAGCCTGAGCTAAAAGTCTGCTTCTTCTTTGATATTGTCCATAGTCATCCCAGCTGGAAGAAATTTCTTTTTCCATTGTACCTTCTTATTTTTTTTCCTTTGTACCTTTTTAAAAATTAGTTTGTACTACTTGTATAATACTTTAGCTTACACTACCTTTCAGATAGATTCTGAGCTTTTTTTTCTGCTACATGTTTATAAACTCCGACATGGCAAGACCATGTCTTCCACGAGTTTTTATGCCTCACATTGCCAAGTATATAACCTCATGCATGGAAGGTTCATTTTCAAATGGATGTATAAATGAATTAGATATGTTAAAAGGAAAGCATTTTCTATTATTTTAAAGCTCCTTTGATGTGGCTTTCTTGTAACTTCTGTTTAGGAATCACAAGGGATATAGAAATCAGCCCAGTGAGGGAAATGGGATTAACACTGAGGCAGCCCTACTGGGAAAATTATTCTAGATAGCTAAATATATTGAGAAGAAATGAAATCAGAAGGAGTATGGGAATGGAGAAAAATAGAAGTATTTTCAATTTGATATCCAAAAAGTCAAGTAGGAGTGATTTTGAATAAGCTAAAAGGAAAAATGCAGCACTGAGCCAGTAGGTGAACACATGGGGACAAATAAAATCACAGGTGATGGAAGGAAACATGAGACTTCATGAACAGAATTTTTGTTTTCTGTTTTGTTTTGTTTTTAATCTAGTTTGTGGTAATACAATTTAAGAGCTATATGGCCAGAACTGCTGTACCTTTGATTGTTTTATTACTTATTTTTTTCACAACATGAGTTCCAAAGTAATCAAATTACTTAGACAAATATAAAGGGTTTTTTTCCATCCTATTTTCTCATAAGATTTTTGTTTTATTTAGTTTTTATTGAAGGATAAAATATTTCCTAACTTTCTTAAATTTTAAAATAAAGTTCCAGGGAACAGCTATCTATAATCTAGAACCTATGAGTTATTTCATTCCTCAAGTAGTGCTCTTAATGGTCTCATAACACTTGAGCAGATATGGCTCCCAGAACTAGAAGTCCAGTGTTGCTTAGTAATGTCTTCTGGGAATCTATTGATGTCAGGTTTTATGAACATAGAGCCCAAGGTTCTGATGTAGAGAGTATATTTTGGGAGCTAATCTACCATGCATTCTTACATTTTTTTCTATTTTAGAAAAGGGCAGTGATTATCAGAGTCAGTTTTGCTTGCTTGCTGATAATGTATTCTTGAAATGCAGTATATATGGCAGCTAATAGCAAAAACTCAAGAATTTCAACAGAAAATTTAATTACAGAAATGGCTGAATGAGGCAAAATATAATGGAATGAGGAAACAGCAATTATATGACACTTATGAGAAAGTGATAACAAGTAAGTACCAATTTCTGAGAAGAAAATATATATGGAAAAATGTATGTAAGTGAAACTCTGCCTTTCCGGGAACACATAGAATTTATACTGAGATTTCAAGGTTTTAAGATCTAAATTTTAATAGATAAGCACATGTTCTCCTCTTCACTATACCACTGCAGAAATAGAAGCCCAAGAAGAGAGAAAATATGCTTAATAATCATTATTTACAATATATTCATTATATATAATATTTATAATTTAATCATTTATTTACAATGAAACTATATAAATCTATATTATCTATAGATGTAAACATGTACAATTCTGTCTGTATTCATGATTTTTAATTTAGACAATGGAGTTAATAATATAAATCAAAGTATCCCATGCATTTGGACAGGACTAGAAAGTCAAATGTGCATTTTGATATATTAATAACTAAAGTATTATGGGCAAACATCAAGATAGTCTTATTCTAACAACATGCAGCATCCTGAGGGTTTAAATCAGAAGAAATAAATATTTATAGTCCAAATTTTTATTAATTTAAGATAAAAATAGCATAACTGAACCCGTGGGAGGGAGGATCATACTCTTCTAATAAAGAATACTTGATTTATTAAATAGAAGAATATAAATAAAAATTGATATTCTCTGGCCTCTTCAGTTTTCCAACAGTTTTAATTATTAGAAGGTTCTGTCCCTTCTTTTCTTCTTCTCTTTTCCCCTCTTCCTTCTCTTTCTGTTATAAGTGACAATCTGACTTATTTATATTTTCACCCATTGGTCCTCTAAAGCCACATAGAATGATCTAGATCTTTCTTCTACAAAGTAGCCATTTTTTCTATTTTTTAAAATATATTTCAACAGATGTAGGGAGGACAATTTTTTTTTGTTATATGGATGAACCCATCACCCTAACAGTGTACATTGTAATTTTTCATTCCCCACCTCCTTCTACTCTCCCTCTTCTGAATCTCCAGTGTTCATTATGACACTCTGTATGACCATGCATAAGCATAGCTTAGCTCCCACCTATAAGTGAGAACATTCAGTGTTTGTTTTTCCATTCCTGAATTACTTCACTTATGATAATGGGCTCCAGTTCCATCCAAGTTGCTGCAAAAGACATTATTTTTATTCTTTTTCATGGCTGACTAGTATTTCATTTAAATTACATTTTCTTTCTACATTCATGAAATGAGCACTTAAGTTGATTCATATCTTTGCAATTGTGAATTGTGCTTCGATAAACATACAAATGCAAGTGTCTTTTTGATATGACTTCTTTTCCTTTGGGAAGATACCCAGTAGTGGGATTGCCAGATCAAGTGGTAGATCTATTTTTAGTTCTTTAAGGAGTCCCAGTACTGATCTTCATAAAGGTTGTATTACTTTACATTTCCACCAACGGTGTATAAATGTTCCCTTTTCACTGCATCCATGCTTACATCTTTTGTTTTTTGACTTTTTAATAATGGCCATTCTGACAGGTTTAATCTCACTATGGTTTCAATTTGCATTCCCCTGATGATTAGTGATGTTGAGCATTTTTTCATATTTGTTGGCTATTTGTATATCTTATTCTATATCTTCTTTTGAAAAATGTTCATGTTCATGCCTTTTTCCCATTTTTAAATTTTTTTTTCTTGTTTGTTTGTTTGAGTTATTTGTAGAATCTGGATGTTAGTCCTTTGTCAGATGTATAGTTTGAGGAAATTTTCTCCCATTCTGTAAGTTCTCTATTTACTCTGTTGATTATTTCTTTTATTGTGTAGAAGCCTTTTAGTTTAAGTCCCATTTATTTATTTATTTATTTATTTTGTTGTTGTATTTGCCTTTGGGGGTCTTAAACCTTGCCTAGGATCATGTTGAGAAGATAGTTTTTTTCTAGGTTTTCTTCTAGAATTTTTATGCTGTCAGGTTTTACATTTAAGTCTTTAATCCATCTTGAGTTAGTTTTTGTATATGGTAAGAGATAGCAATCCAGTTTCAGTCTCAAAGACAATTGATGAATTTTAAAATTATTTATTGAGCACCTACTATATGCTGAATACTATTCTAGTCATTGAATAAAACTTAAACTATCTCTGAATTGTGAAAAGATCATTGACATGACCAAATTACTTTGTAAAAAATAGACTATAGATCAAAATGAAAGCAAGATGCTCGTATAGGGATCATTATAATAATTTATGGGAGAGATCAGAGGAATGTGGGACAGGACTACAACAGTTGATTTGGTAAAAAATAGTGGTAGGATTCTGGATAGATTTTAAAGGTACAACTGATGGAATTATGAGGATGTGAAAAGATGCAGAGAACATATTATTAATACTTATCCACCACTTCTGAGAAAAATATACCCCTTCTGAGGAATACTCATGATAAACTCTAACAAGCAATAAATGAAAAATCACTGTGGCTGCTCTGGGTAGAGTGACAAAAAGAGAGCGAGCTGAAACAGGGAGACTTGTTAGGAAGTTATTGAAATTATCCTGGTCAGAAATAAAGGGTACTTATATCAGGATTTTAGTGATAAACATATTAAGAAGTATTCAGCTGCTAATATATTTGGGTGGGTGCTGACAGGAATTCTGATGGAGTGGCTGTGAGAGACGAGAAGAGGTGAAACCAAGATAATGCTAAAAATTTTGGTTAGAGAAGGAAGACTAAAAACTGGAGAGACTGATAATGTTTTGACCTTAAATTAGGTATCTCTCCATTTCTGAAAGCTGGATGGCCTACCCATTATTCATCGCTGCTTCCTAACATAACTCTATATTCAGTAATTTTCCATATATATCACTTTTGCCCCTTGAAGTAACTGTATAGTAGGAAGAAGAGAAATCATTTCAATTTTAGAGATGAAGATGATAGGTTCGAGGGATGCTATGTGTCTTGCCCAACAGTTCTAATAATTGGCAGAGTGTGGATAAGAATTCAAACTGACTCCAGTCATAAAAGATATTCTCTAAAAACTAACTCTGTATTTTTGAATCCTTGCTGTTTGTAGGATATTAAATATACTGCTGGGTTTAAGCTTCACAAGGGCAGGAATCTTTGTTTGTTTTGTTCACTGATGAACCCCAAGAGCCTAGAGTAGTGTCTAGTACATAGTAGTTGGGCACTCAATTAGTATTTATTTATTTTTTTTCTCCTTTTATTTCATCATATTATGGGGGTACAAATATTGTTAGGATTACATATATTGCCCCTGCCACCCCTCCCTGCCTTCCCCCCCCCCCAGAGCTTCAAGTGTGTCCAACCCCCAGGTGGTGTGCACCACACCATTATGGAAGTATACACGCTTCCCCACTTCCCCCCTCCCACCTGCCTACCACTAGATAAAAGTTTTTGTTTTTTTTTACATTTTGGTTACACTGTATATTTTTGCCTCTCCCTAAGAAGGGTTAGAGGTATTAGTATTTCTTGAAATAAGAGAAAAGACTGCCATCTTGCCATATACATTGTTATAACTTAACTATTTCTCAGCCAGAAATAGTTTAACCACCCTTTAAAAGAGAAATTAAAGTTAAGTTAATTAAAGAAAACAATTAATTGTTTTCATAGGGAAATTAAAAATTATGTTTGGTTTCAGATTAGAAAGGCCCAATATATTGACTTGTGCTCTAATGTTCTAGTTTCTGCTCTTTTATCCTGATCAGATATTCTATAATTAGTGCTATTAAATTATATGTGAAAGAAAATTCATGCTCTCCCTTCTATAAGATAGGCTACATTGGAAGATAGTTGCCCAGCCAGTAATTCACATTTACTGTTGTAATCAGGTATGGCCATAGACTCATTCTTACCACTGAAATATTGGAGGAAATAGTGTGTACTATACCTGGGCTTGGGTTTTAATGAGGTGGTAGGGCATCTCTATATTGACTGCTAGCTTAACCGCTTGATTGATAAGAACAGTACACAGATTTAATATCTAACAGGAACTAGAATATTATAAGAGTGAGACATAAATATTTACTATAAATAAAATTATTTGTTGTTATAGTTACTAGTGTTACCGAACCAAATTGGTATTGGAAGTGGGGTCGCTGCTTTCAGAAAGCATAAATACGTAGCATTGACCTCAAGATTGGATGATGATAAAACAAATATTAGAGGTTGGAAAAATGGAGATCCATGTTTTACAGTGGCAAACTTTTGATAAAACTCTTGCTGTCAGTAATTTTGAAGTTAGGCCATATGCCTTCCAGGTCTGTGACTCTGGGACCAAAGGTAGAAAACAGAGTATTATCATTTGTGTTTGTTGTTACTTGCTGTATTTTATAAGATATTACAAGAAAGAGATGAACTCAGGCAAGAATTGACTGCTTGGAGAGCATACATAAAAGGAAGTAGATAAAATCCAGAAATCTAAGGCCTCTCAGGGTTAAAAAAGCTTACGGCTCTGGCCCCCAGGTGAATAAGACTGAAAAAAATCTCATTAAGATTCATGTTAAACAGTTGGGCTTAGCTCTGCAGTGAAAAAAAACTTTAGGTGTCATTATTGACACTAGCAACAAAAAAATCAGAAGCCTGGTAACTTTGAAAGAATTGTACTAGCAAGGAAATTTTGAGCCCAAGACAAATCAGAGTGCTTCTATCATTGCCAGGGTAAATAAAGGTCTTCACAATCCCTGCCTGGCAGGATTTCCTTATTGGTATGGCCCAGGGAGAGCCATGTGTTTTCCATTCTTCTATTTTCCCAGTGGGAGTTATTATGGTGATTGTTCTGTTCCTGCTACAACATTGTACGTTGGGTGTCAGAGGTGTGGAGGGAAAACAACTTCTAGTTCATGGGTCACCAGACTATAAACTCCTACATATGGATCTGATGGAGAAAACTGTGTATTATTCAGAACTCCTAGATTTTGAACTGGATGGAATGTTGAATTATATAGTCTAGGGCAGGGGTGAGTGTATTCTAGTGAGAAGAGGAGTGCACAAAGATATTTAATGGCTGAAGGAGTTCACTGTGGTAGAGATGGGTAGGTATCTACATAGTTTATATTACTCCTTCTATACTGTTGAGTACCACTAGAACTAAAGGTATTCCACCAGGAACTATGTTGCCAGGCTCCTTTACATCCACGTGGATCATATGATTATTAGCTGAGGGAATATCTATGCAAGTGATAAAGTGATAATTGTTACTATGAGACTGGGGTTTTAAAATAGTGGCTGATGCTTTTAACTCTATTTTCTTTTTTGATGCATTAGGACAGAGGACTCATCAATCCTAGGGGATAACTGAGCCACAAAATGGAAACAACCTGGGTTCTTAAACTACCATAATGAGAAAACTCACCTCCAACAAGGAACACCTGCATTGGATAAAGCAAAATAAACTTCCATTATGTTAAGCCACTGAATTTCTGGGCAGCTGATCTGTTACTACCATTAATATTACTATAATTCATTCAATATAATCCTGATAATATGACTACTTTTTATTTGGTGTCTATTATGTGTCACACATACTAATAAGAGTGTCATATGTGTGAATTAATTCTCAAATAATTCTTCAACTTAAGAAGTATAATTTTCATTTTTCAATTGAACCTAAAACTCAAGAAAGATTTACTTTCCCAAGATCACCTAGTTAGTAGGTGGCAGAGAGGGGATTCAAACCCATGTGCATTGAATTTCACTTCTGCTCTTAACCACAGCAATAGTGGATTGCCATTTTTAGAAGAAATGATTGACACAAAGCACTATGATTGAGGAATAATTTAAGGAGAGGTTGCTATTGTATTTTTGGGGTAAATTTTAATTGAAATTACTTGATAAATCTTACATATGCATGCATTATTTGTTAATACAAAATGAGGACTGAATGAGAGTCTACATGCTAATATTGTACTATTTTATTTGTCTAGACAGGCATCCTCAAACTACGGCCCTCGGGCCACATGTGAGTGTTTTTGCCCATTTGTTTTTTTACTTCAAAATAAGATATGTGCAGTGTGCATATGAATTTGTTCATAGTTTTTTTAAACTATAGTCTGGCCCTCCAACGGTCTGAGGGACAGTGAACTGGCCCCCTGTTAAAAAGTTTAAGGACCCCTGGTCTAGCATATTAAGTAAAGTTAAAGTATCCCTTTTTACTCACGAATTCCTGTTTTATTTTTGTATGATTTTATCCTGGGAGCACTAACTGGCCCCTCCTGAGATTTAATCTTCTTAGAAATAAATTGGTAGCCTAATTTTTGGGAATAAATCCTTACTAAAGAATAAATCCATGCTGAACATTTTTTTTCCTGAGGAACTTCTATAATACGTAAATCTTTCCATTGTTACTTTTCAAGGCTAGCCAAATTTCCAAATGCTTTTTTTTGTAGTTTTCAAAAAAGTTGACATCTTACTACATGTCCTAAAAATACATGAAAGTTTAAAACTTACTTGGTAGAGCAAACACACAAATTAGGAAGAGATAGCACTCCAGTATTACCACTACAGAACACCACCAAACCATAATGATTAACAAGAGAGAAAAAAAGTAATAACAGATATACAAAACAACCAAAAAACAATTAATAAAAAGACAAGAATAAGTCACCTCATATTAATAATAACCTTAAATGTAAAAGGATTAAATTTTCCACTTAAAATGTACAGATTGGCTTAAGGGATTAAAAAGCATGAATCAACCATATGCTGTCTAAAAGAAACTCACTTTACCTATAAAGACACATAAAGACTGAAAGAAAAGTCCTAAGCTTTTCTTTATTGGGAGACTTTTTATTACTGATTCAGTTGTGTTACTAATTATTGGTCATACATACATACATAATGAGTGAGATGTGCACCATCTGGGGGATGGTCATGATGGAGACTCAGACTTTTGGGGGGAGGGAGGGAAATGCGCATTTATTGAAACCTTAAAATCTGTACCCCCATAATATGCCAAAATAAAAAAAAATAAAAAAAAAAAGTAGGCAACGGATCTGAATAAACATTTCTCAAAAGAAGACATAAAGTGGTAAACAGGTATATGAAAAAATGCTTCATAGCACCAATCATTAGGGAAATGCAAATTAAAATCACAATGAGATATCATCTTACCCCAGTTAGAATGGCTATCAAAAACTCAAAAAATAACAGATGCTGGTGAGGATGCAGAGAAAAGAAAACTCTGATACACTGTTAGTGAGAATGTAAATTAGTACAGCCATTTTGAAAAACAGTATGGAGATTTCTTTAAAAACTAAAAAGAGAACAACCATGTGATCCAACAATCCCATTATTGGGTATTTATCCAATGGAAAGAAAATCAGTGTATCATAGGGATACCTGCACCCCATGTTTATTTCAGCACTAATCACAATAGCAAAGATATTGAATCAAATTAAGTGTCCATCAAAGAAGGGATAAAAGATATGTATATCATTATATACATACACATACTTCATGCACACACATACATATATTCTCACATATATGTATATATACACATGCACACAGTGTATGTGTATATTCTTCCATAAAAAAGGAATTAAATCATGTCATTTTCACCAACATGTCATTTCACCAACATGAATGGAACTAGTGGTCATTATGTTAAGTGAAATAAACCAGACACAGAAAGACAAATATTGCATTTTCTCACTTATATGTGGGAACTAGAAAAAGCTAATCTCCTGGAGGTATAAAGTAGAACAATAGTTAACAGAGGCTGGCAAGGGTGTGGATGTATACATATTGGTGGTGGGGGGGCATTAGAGAGGTTTGTTAATGGCTAGAAACATACAATTAGATAAAAGAAATAATTTCTAATGTTTAATAATAGAGTATGGTGACTATATTTAACAACAATCTATTGTATATTCCATAATAGCTAAAAGAGAGAACTTGAAATGTTCTCAACCCATAGAATTGATAAATTCTTGAGGCTATGAATATTCTAAATACCCTGATTTGATCATTACACATTCTATGAATGTAACGAAACATCATCACATGTAACCCTAAATATGCACAAATATTATGCTTCAACAAAAAAACGTGACTATATTTTAGGATGTTAAAAATTTATAAACTGGGTAGGACATAGGCTAGGGCATAGAGTATGTATGTTTGTTGGAGAGTGATAGGAAATAAAATTAGTAAAGTAGATTAAAGCTATATCATAAATTATACCAAAAGAACTTAGGAGAATAATGGAAGGAAGCATGATGCAAAGGAGAACACAGAGTTCTGTATCCAAGAGCTTTTCTTTTTAACCTGTTCTTCCACTAACCTGTTGGTCTACATTTGATGACTCATATAATAATAACAGTAATAACTATACCAATATTTATTATGCTTATTTACTGATTTTTCCCCCAAAATACTCATTAAAAGACTTTGATGGATTTAACTCCTCACTTGTTAATACTTGGCTCTACAGAAATGAATATAGCCTATCCTGCAACAAACCAATTAAAGCACTTCAGGGAAGAGGTGAAATATTTAGCCCACTGTCTCTTGTGTTTCTTCAGATGAGCTTCTCTCCTGCTTATTTCTTGTTTGGTCCTTGACTTTCCTATTACTGACTCTCTTATCTCTTTCATCAACATACTGAGCTCTAGAAACCCACCATAGTCTCTGCTTGCTTAAGTTTCTCTGACTCTGATTCTTTGGCATATACTCCATCAGAATTTTGAGTCACTTTTGGGTTTTTTGAAAAAATTGTTTTAATTAGACACAGGAGTTTATAAACTCAGATCAATAATGTTAAAAATAAATTACACATTGATACATAGCTACCATAGGCACATTACATGAGTATGATTCACTTTATCAGGAGAAACAGCTATGCCTTACAGAACATGGTAATTTTTAAAATTCTTTGCTTTTTTCTGCCAGGCAGAATGATCCTTCCAACTTTTCCAGGACTTGACAACTATGAGCAAAGTTCTCCATTCTTGTATGGTGTTTGTGAGAAGAGAAATATTTTCACGTAAGTTTTAGCAACTGAATATGGTTCATACTTTTCCTGAAAGTCTATGTTTATTTTTTACTATTCAAAATTGTTTTGTTTTGAAGTAGTCATCACAATGGAGCCTTTGGCTCAATGCGCTAACACAAGGGCTGCTACTGCTTTTTTCAGATTTTATTGGAACTGCCATGTCCCACAGAATCAACACCACATGCATATACTGAGAATGTTATATCACTGATCACAAAAATTGCCAGGAAACATTGTCCTTGAAAATTTTCCCGATGCCCTGTTCCCTGTTAAATATGTTTTCTTTTCTTCTTCTTCTTCTTCTTTTTTTTGTTTTGTTAATAAATGAGGCTGGCCTAGGCTGAGTTTGGTTTAAAACTGTGAAAACCAATGATATAATGTGGGAAGGAGTTCTTTTTCCTTTCTTTGTTTTTATTATATATGACACCACTAGAGTTATTCTGTTTATAGCAAACTTGCATTTTGTTTGGTGCATGTTGAGAGAACAGCAGGAGAAAAACGTTTCCAAAATGAATGAGTTTTGGCAGGCACATGACCTGTATATCATTACTAGAGAAGGAAAAACTTACTCTGATATTATACTACTTTTTATGAGAGTCCTGTTCTTCTAGTCATCTTTTGTACATGTTGAACGTCTGAGACATTGAATGGAAACTTTGGATCATAAAAAACAGAAATTTCTTCCCCCACTTGTTAGATATGTTTGTGAAATAAAATTATTTGGTGGGCTGCTAGTTTTCATTACATATAACATAACTTTGTTAAATTGAGACATGAACTTAAATAGCACTTGGATGATTGCCCAGGTGTGAGAAATCCTTTGGGATTAAGGGTGGATGATACTGAATTCACAGTAAACTTTGTTAGCTAAAGGGAGATGTTAATTCCTCTGGATGCATTCCTAAGTCTGGTTAGTAACTAGTTTGCCCTGTTAATAAACTTCAACAAATTCAGAGGTTAGGCTTGCAAAACAACTCTCCAAATTTAGCACTCATTATCTTAACACTGATCTAATCTTTAGATTTGTCTGAAGCAATAATTTCTGCTTCTTTTTAAATCCACAAAGTATTGAAGTGCCTTAAGAAGAGAACCTCTTGATGCATAATTGTAGTTTTCTTGTCAATTCTGTCCTTGCTCAAGAATCAATGAGATTAGAAAGACAGCGAGGACAGAATTCATCTGCAAAACATGGTTCTACTGAGTTTCTCAACATACGGGATTCTTTCTAATTTATGTCGTATGTTCCATCTATATATTGCTTCTTTGGGCAGAAATAATCTGTGCTCTTTTGTAAGTGGCTAGATTATTTTAAATTCCTTGTTTTTTTCTGCCAGGTAGAATGATCCTTCCAATGTTTCTATGACTTGACAACTATGGGCAGAATTTTCCATTCTTGTATGGTGTTCATGAGAAGAGAAATATTTCCATGGAAGTTTTAGCGACTGATTAGATAAGTGT